GTGAGTACGATATAATGTAATTAGGTTAAATTAAATTATATTAAATAGACAGGGTAGAGAGATAGTGGTGGGAAATCACTGACCCGATGGGGGAAATTAGTTAGCCTGTCCGGCCTCATGCGTGCGTGTTGCCCAAATTTAGTTCGTGTTCGTGCCTTGGCGTGCTGCATGAATCCGAGACGCGTTCATCTCTATTTTTGTACCATATGCGCTTTGAATTATTTATTATAGCAGAAACAAAGCAACCACAGCAGCTGGAGCAGCAGCAGGAGCAGCTTTTCATTTTGGCAAGAAAGTAATTATGTGTAACGTGGCGTATGCGCAATGTTCGAAAGCAAGAAAATTAATTAGTTTCGGCAGCGGTAGGGGCCAAACCTTTTGTGGTTAACAAGCGAGAGCTGATAATGAATCGATTTGCTTGAACAGCATCCAGCATCCAGCATCCGGCGTGCAGCATGCAGCAGGTGAGCCAACTTAAGCAGATTTCACTGTCTGTTGGCTAGCAAGCGATTCTAACAAACGACCGCAAACAAACATCAATGCCAAAATAAATTCTCAAGTTGCTGCTCCTGCTCCTGCTGCTGTTGCTTCTGTTGTTGCTTAAGCTTAGGATAACAGCATGCCTGTCTTGCTGCAGGATAAACACGAATCGAATGTCATTAAAATAAAGACAAGACAAGCTAAAGACAAGAGCGGTCGGACGGGCGGGCGCTGCGGCTCAAGTAGTCATTGGAAGCTGCCGCACAGCCGGGCAGCATCATGTTGAGAGCTCATTAAAACGAATACGAATTTAATGGTACTTAAAGCGGAAATTGCCTGGGAAGTTTCCGCCATGCTAAGCACACAACAACAACAACAACAATAAGCGGGACAACAACAGCAGCAACAAATGACGCAGAGCCATGTGAAACCAAACCAAGTCGAAGCAAGTCAAGCCAAGATCGAAGCAAAGCTTTTACGAGCTGAAAACTATTAGTGCCACCAACAACAGTGCGCGTTGCACACACACACACACACGCACCCACACATACATTCGAGTATGGCAACAGCTCATCTATGTGGGCGGTCGCATCTGTGTGTGTGTGTGTGTGTGTGTGTGTGGGCGTGTTCACTATTTTTTCTTGCCTCACGTTATTGTGTGCCAAATGAAGCCATCGCCAATGCACACCGGCACAAAGCTGATGCATGCTGTGCTAAACAAAAATAGAATAGAAAAGAAAAAACAGAAAGAAAAGCCAAAGAATTGACAATACCCGGCTGCGCAATACTCTGTACACAATGCCTTGGAAGCGCAGCATGTGCCTCTTAAAAGGAAACCATAAGCCATTGACTTTCAAACTATACAAGATAGAGAGTTTATCGAATAACGCTCTGTGAGACTCCTAAACTGTAAATATGGGGCTTAAAACTGTAGATTTCATAGATTTTGTTCATAAGGCAATCTTTGCTACTTTCGAATCTCTTGCTTGGGCGCAGTGACCTCTAAACTGTGTTCCTAAAACTGTTATAGATATTAATATGATCTGAGTTACTTCCCATCTGTCAATTCTGAGGCATTGCTTGTAATACCTTTATCAATATTGTAGAAGACAAATGTCGCTTGCAAAGTAAAACAGAATTATTTCGGTACGTCTTCTTTATTCTACTGTACGATCGCGACTGACTCTGCGTTCGTTTTATGCTTACGGACTAAAGGAGAATAGACAATCAGTTTATGCATGTATAAGCGAGACAAGGAGTGATTCGACTTGTCGAGCTCTTCTTACATGAACTAGAGTACAACAGGAATGAATAGAGCTAAGCGAACTTAAGACAAACGGGAGATTGTTGCGTAGATGGCCTTGACTATGTGTCTGTCTGTATGTATGTCTGTACATACATGTATTTATCCTACAACAATATCAGCAATATAAACATAACAGTCTTATGCGCACAGCTTAAATGTCATTCTGATGCTGAGATAATACTAGATAGACTTTTTGCCTTGCAGTTTAGTAGCTCTAAGTCAAGGGCATAATAGAAAACACCTTTTTTTTCAATTGCGGCGCATTTGAAGCATGATTGAAACTTTTTTTGGGGATCGATAGCGGGTATTGCTACATATAAATTTTGCTTTGATCTTTGAAGAAGATTCTCAGTAGTATATTTGGTTACTTCTTATACGCCCTTAAAATAGACTACTCTAAAGTTGTTACCTTCCATAGACGGAAATACAGTCAGACATCTAGGCAAGCATTGCACAAAACCAATATTCTCTTTTTACTGAAGGAACAGCGCATAAAAACGGGATAAGAACCAAAAAACGAACAAAACTAGTTTGAAAAAAATACAAGCGAAAACGAATACTGAATACCCTTAACATTTAGGAGCCAAACTCTGGTAATTAGGCTCTGCAACTATTTTGCATATAACTGATCAATTTGGAAGATTTTTTTAATTATTTTGTTTATTTATTGAAACATTTTCTTAAGTTCACAATTATTAAACCAAACATTACATATTCAAGTCGGAATCTCATATTCCACATTCATTTCCAATCCGCATGGCTCAATATTAAAATTATTGTTGCAAATGGAATTTAATATGAGACATATCCAATGTTGGGCCAGGTAACCAGGTGAAAAGCACTGAAAAAGAAAAACAACAACAACAACAACAACAAATAATAATAACAAGAGGAGCGGCAACTGTAACTTTGCTGACTGTGCGAAAATGTGCGACGCCATTTTGAGAGAACGCACAAAAGTATGCTATAATTGAACGTTTGTTTGTTTCGCAGGTGTTTCTGCCTGTGTGTGTGTGTATTGAGATGAATGTGCGTGTGATGAATGTGCACGTGTGTGCGTGGGAGTGTGTGTTTGTGCAAAATGCTGGAAAATTTGCTGCACATATGGATGTCAGCAGCGCCCATAATGGCAATACCATTGTATGTACTTTGAGTTTTCAATTTCAGCTTTTTGCCAGAAACAGAGACAGAGCGAGACGGAATGCGCGTCGGTTGGGCGCGTGGAGGCAGCTCGAGTGCCCGGGAGAGAGTTAGCAAACAGCGGGCTAGGGATTATGCTGCGTATTGAGTTGGGCACACATCCATTTTGGTTTGCGTTCGCCTTTCATGCGCTTCACGCGAAAAACAAAAATCAAACAAAAAAAATAGAATGAAAAAAACCGAAATTCCAAAAAGTCAATTCAAATGGATTTTGCTTGTTTCAGCTTATGGATTTTCGCCAAACAGCCGGTGGGGTAAATAAAAGCGATCCAAAGCAGGCAGATACGAATAACGCAAAAACAAAAACAAAAAGTAAAAGCATCAGCGAGATGAAAATTGATTGCGAATTTCGAAACAGATTGTCCAAAGTCCAAAAAGTATGACAATTCTAACGATTATAGCAAATGAAATAAATTTCTGGAAGTTTGACAAATTCATTGGATTTAACAAATCCATCAACGAACAAGCCAAAATCTATGAAGATTGGCTGGCAGTATCGCGCATTTATCGCTTTTTTATCGTCTTACAACGAGAAATGGAAAATTTTATAACCTCTCTAGGAAGCTAAGCAGCTTTAAGAAGTTAAGGATTATTTCCAAATGTATCGCTTTCTTATCTTCTATATGTTTCACTTAGCCAACATTTCCATATGGCCCGTCTAACTTCTAACCCTTCATTGTGGTATCGCCACACTATCTTCCTGGCGATAGAGTACTGCAACTAAACAAAGTGAACGAGAACGAAGTATTTTTGAATGACAAGCACTGTCAATGCTGGAAAGACAATCCAACTGAATGAAATGATTCGTTCACATAACAACCGACAGGCTCACACACATGCACACCCACTCAGACAATCAGACTCATACGCATACACACACTCAAAGCGGACATTGAAGTGCACTTAGTTGCCAAAAAGTTAATAAAAATAAGTGCCTCTTGGCCGTTGCCAAGTGCCAGAGTCCGGCAAGCATATGAAGTGGCTGGAACTCGGATTCGGGCATCAGCTCCGACCGACCCGTCAGACCCGTCGAACCGGCGCCCAGCAAAGATTCAAACCGACGTTAAGTAATTTGGATTTGCCGGCGACTAGCTGGTCCCGTACTTGACCAAGGCACAGCTGCGAAATGTTACCGTTGTTAACTTGAAGGACTTGGCCAAGCCGAGGCAGGCCAAAAGGCCAGGCACTGCGTCTGGGACATAAGAAAAATACCACAGACTTGAAAATATAATAACAATGCCCAGGCCAAGGCAGCCAACCATAAATGCTGGTAATAATTGCTGTTGCTGAAATCGGCATTTTAGATGAACTTTCCGAGTGTTGAGCCCCAAAAATCTGAACGAAATATGCAATTAAATGTTCGAAATTGTGAGCAAAAATAACTGAAATAGTTTTCTAAGCCATTTCAACCCAATTGCCTGTTGCATGACTTTGTGTGTGCGCCCAAAGATTTCAGTTAAAATTTAAATTGATAAAGAACTTGCAAGTTTTTGAAGCGCATGTCAAATTTGACAAGCATTTCAACATGACGATTTAAATAAGTATTAAGCCATGTTTTAATGCTGCACTAACTGAAAAATTTTGGCTGGCAAAGCTAACTACCTGTTAAATAGCTAACTAGATATATTCACGGTGTTGCCACCTTGCAATTTAAAGCACATACGGCAACGCTAAGACATATCTGAGCTTAAAATTACTTGCTTCGACAAGGGATTGTTAAATAAATATTTAAGTAAGTAATAATATATATAATTTCAACATTTGTCAAGCCGCTCTCCCTTACGGCGTTGCCAGCATATCGATGTGGCCTTGCCGACTTATCAGCATGGCGTTGCCACTGCTGCACACAATTTTCAAGTTTCATTGGAAGCAAATAGAATACGTTTGTCAATTAGACAGCCAAATGATTTTCACAAAGCTGTTCTAGGAAAATATTTCTGCCGGCAAGAGTTAAATTTCTCTGGAATTGCACTTGCGCCTGCTCAGGCAACATTAAACGGACAATTTATGAGGG